GGAACTTTATGTCAGTGTGCCACCACCATTCAGCACCATAGCGTAAAATAGGCTTACAATAACGACCTTATATCCTTGTTGGGACATGAACAAAAATTTTTGGAAGCCATGGGGCATGTTGTGATTCGAGTCTTCTCAATTCTATTTCTGTATCTCTGATCTAGCCACTTTTGTCCATTTCTGCTGCCCTCTGATAGTCAACACCATCATTGTTCCCCATTTGGAAGGTAGGAAACCTCAAGTCTTTAACCCCATCACACTGATTCCATTCTAGGACTCCCTCCAATCCATATTCCACAGACTAGGAAAGGTTATGTTCTTAAAAACATATATTTCCTGTTATACAGCTGTTGCTCATCATCCTTAAAATAAAATCCATTCTTACCAAGGCCTATAAGGACCTGCGTGATCTAGTCCCTGCCAGATCTCTCCAGGCTGACTCCCAGCTTTCTTCCCTTATTTCGCTGCAGTTCCTCAGGTCTTGCATCTCTCTGAACACCAACAAACTCTTCCCAGCTCGGTATTTGTTTTGTCATCCCTCTCCTCCTCTCCCTCTTTCCTTGATTCATTCTTGTCATTTAGGTCTGGGTCTCCTGGGAGGTACCACCCCCCGACCTCCCTGCCTAAGTCAGTCGTCCCACCACCTAGCCTGCTTACCTCTTTCACAGCACATATTATAACTTATAATTATATTCTTTGCTTAGTCACTTGTTATTTTCTCTTTCCTCATCTGTGTATAAGTTCTACTGGAGGCAAAAACAATGTTTACGTTGTTCTTCATAAGACAGCAGAGTGCCTTGTATATGCTATGCATTTTGTCCCTGTGACTTATTCATTCCATAACTGGAAGCCTGTACCTCCCATTCCCCTATACCCATTTTACCCACCAACATCCACCTCCTCCCCTCTGGCAACCACTAGTTTGTTCTCTGCAATTATGGGCCTGCTTCTCTGCTTTTGTTTGTTCATTTGTTTTTTAGATTCCACATGTAAGTGAAATCACATGGTATTCATTTTTCTAGGACTCACTTTACTTTTTTCACTTATTTGGTAGCTTCCAATGAAAAATGCACTAAGATAGCAATATTTGTCCAACATGCCCAGTTTAAAAAAAAAAAAAAATTGTGTTAGAGTAGGAAAAAAAAGTATGACTACTTTAGCATTTAGTTAAATAAATGTTATTATGTTTGCCGGAAACTGTTCAAGAACATTTCTCCTTATGTAAGGCTTACCCCCAGTAATGCTGCTTAGGTCAGTGTCTGTCTGGATTATCTGCAGCCTAAATGCCAACTCTGTAAATTAAAGCTGTCAAGTGACAACTTTGCCATAGCATGCATAACCAACTTTTAAAATTTATTTATACTCCATTCCCTTTCTCTGGCCAGATTAAATTCTCCTTTCCTAAGCCATTTTTTTACTCACTCCAGACTGTGGCATAATTCAACATGTTCTAAACAATTACATGGAAACTACAGCTCTTCTGATTTCCAATTCCCAAATGACTTTCATTAAGACTTTAGAATAGCAAAAGAAATTTTTCAGAGTTCACTAAATGTAACAATTTTCTTAAATTCCTCCAGGTAACAGTGTATGAATCAGTCATAATAATGGCATGCTATGAAAATGCTGTGAATTATTATAGGTTCATAATAAGTCCTTTATTCAGTGTCCCAAGGAAACAGTTCATTTCAACATGCAAGTGGAAATATTCTTTTGACTAATCTGTCCATCACATTGTAATGTGCATGCTGAACCTCCACAGAAGTAAATACTACATTAAGTGGCAGGATTTCTAAGGTGAAAACACATTTTCCTCTGATATGAAGACTTCCCTAATCAATTTCCAGGTTTCTATTTAAGTGGATTAAAATTAGTCATGAAAAGTAAAGAGACAGAAAATGGACATAATAAGGATTAACTGGAGAGAATTATTTTCTTAAATGGACGATTTTTTTTAAGTTGTTTGAAAACTGCCTTAATTTTATTGAGAAAACATTACTTCTGGTGATTGGGTTGGATGACTTAGTAAAATTTTTATTTCTGATCCAGCAGGATTCATTTATCTAAAGATATTTACATCTTTAGCACCCAGTTGGGTCGGTAACTGGCAGTTTCTACGTCTGACATATACAAAACACAACAGCCCAAGTATAGCTATCGGCCTATGGACTTTGTCCTTGAAAAGCCTGTTGTGACAAGCTTAATTGCTTGTTAGAGATCTCTGTGTTTAAAATTCCCACAGAAATGATGATGTAGCACTGCTGTTTGGCTTCATTATTCATCAAACTAATTTAAAAGATTTGATATCCCCATCACAAGAAAAAAATTTGTAACTATGTATGGGGACAGATGTTAGCTAGACTTATTGTGAGGATTATCTCACAATGTATACGAATATTGAATCATTAGCTTGAACACCTGAAATTAATATGATGTATGTCATTTATATCTCAGTAAGGTAAGTACACAGAAATATATAGATATAAAAAAAGACTTCATAAAACTTAAATCAATGTCTCAAGGGATGAAACTTTTTAACGTAGAGCATTAGTTTTAAGCATTTATGCTGACAGTTGTATGTTCACAGAAATGTAAATGTGCTCTACATTTTTTAACATTTTTTACAATCACACAAGAAGATTAATTTTAGATATAAAACAAAATAGGCTGTTCTGTAACAGCAAAAGGAAAATAAACTTTTACAATGTTGATAGGGACTGTGTTGTGTCCCTGAATTTTTAGGAAATACTTAAGATTGCCCTCTGCACTAGTATCCAGACACCCACTGGGGTATTTGCTTCTACTAAGTATAGTTGGCATATTATTATACTTTGCAGTCTACTGTTTGTTTCTGGGTTAGTATTGACACATTCAATCTTTCTATCATTGCAATGGTAATATACATACTATATTAAATGCTTTTTTTTTATTAAATGCTTTTTTAATCAGACTTCCTCATAACCCCAAATCATCATTCTGTTTTGCTGAGAAAAGTAACTTATAGCTGGGCATCTTGTTTAGTAGGAGAAGTCATCTTCCATCTCAGGGCTTTTTCTGGAGCTTAGAGCAAGCATTAGCTTTCAGCATTGGGTTTTCTCACCTCTGGGTGTCTGGACCACTATTTGCAAGCATGTTGGCTCAGGCTGGAGACCTTCTGCTAATAAGTGTAGGTGCTGATGCTCCAAATGCAAATCTGTGGAGGTTAGTAGGTCTTCAGGCCACAGGAATCTCTGCACCCATATTGGGATTGACTACTGTTCTCTAAGAGTCAACACCTTTAAACTATTGGGCTGAGTAGACCAGACACCCTCAGCACTACAGTGAACCACCATGGCACAGGACACAAATAAACATGGCAGCTGCCAGAGTGACAGGCCCAGGGCTACCCTGAGAGAATTTAGCAAGCTGGTCAGCAAGACCATATTTATATTTGGTTTAAAGTGTGTCCTTTCTCTCAATAGCAAAAGTTTTCTCTAGTTTTTCATCCTTAAAATATGTCCTTTTCAAAATAGAAGATGGTACCTCATCTGAGAGGCTAAGACCTCTGGAAGCTGATTAATGCACTTGTGAGTTTGAGCCCAGCTTTTAGAGCTTGGTGAGCATCGCTGACTGGATACTCCATGTCAGCCCTACTTGTGGTAATTACAAGATGTGTGCATCACAAGGCTTGCAACTTGTATCACAAGTTCTACAAGAAAACTGGCTAATACTGATTTGGCTCTGCTTACCAATTGTTGAATTTATATCTTGTCCCAGCAAATTCATTTTTTGAAAAGTCATTACATGAAAAACTTTCACCACTCCAATTAGCATCACTGTGCTGACCAACTTTTGGAGTGAGAGTAGCTGATTGGAGTGAGAGTAAACTGATAAATGTTTTTTAGCTACACTAGTGTTTATGTTGGTCAAGCTTTTTGTTTATTATGAAGTTAATTCTGCCCATGACACACCGTTAGTATTTTCTCCTAGAGTGCCATCAATATTTTAACTTTATCAAAAGTTTTTGTCATATAGAAGTTTGTAATTTTTATATAATGAAATCTATCTTTTTCTTTGTGTCTTGAGTTCCCTGACCTACTTAGGAAGGTCCCTTCCACCCCAAGATTTTTTTAATATTTTTTTTGACATAACACTTTAAGATCTTTACTCCATTTAAAGTTTATTTGTAAAAGGACATTGTCTCTCAAGCTCTTTAGTTTTCCTTGATTTAGATGGATTCAAAAGTTTCCTAAGCGAGTAATTTCTTTAAAATGAAGATGATTTGGGGGCGCCTGGGTGGCTCAGTCGTTAAGCGTCTGCCTTCGGCTCAGGTCATGATCCCAGGGTCCTGGGATCGAGTCCCACATCGGGCTCCCTGCTCGGCAGGAAGCCTGCACCCCCTCTCCCACTCCCCCTCTTGTGTTCCCTCTCGCTGTGTCTCTCTCTGTCAAATAAATAAATAAAATCTTTAAAAATAAATAAATAAATAAAATGAAGATGATTTTACCTTTGCTTCTGTAAAAGCCTGACACAATTCCTTTTTTCAAAAGTGCTTACTTTGTTTACAGAGTATATGTTTACAAGAATGTGGAATAACTACCCAAGCACTCTAAATAGAAGTACTAACAAATCCTAAAATACTGCAGTACAGTGACTGAGAACACAATTTGATCCCTAAAGCCGTCTCCAATCTACTGCTCAGTGAAAACAGCAAACAAAAGGCCTCAGTGTTAGTAGAAAACCGAGTTCTTCAAAGCAGGTAAAAGTCCTGTTTAGTCCTTCCATAAGGTAGAGAAAGGGTCCCCAGATTATAAGTGACAAAGCTGCCCTTGTGTAGCACAAAACAATCACGATAAGGCTTTACTTCTTAAAGGCCTAAATTATGAAGAGAGGGGAGCAACAGAACTGAAAATGAAAAAAAAAAAAAAAGGCTTTAGCTTTGACGCAAAGAATGACAGCAGTCCTTGACATAACCAAAGATTCTCAATTTTTAAAAACGCTTCCTTTTAGCAGTGACTAACCTTTCATTATCTGTGACAACACATCAAGTGAGCAGCCGTACAAAGGATGCATGTGATTTCGAAATGCCACAACTGAGCCAACTGCAGCTGCCCGCGTATGCAGTCTGGAGGCGTGACCAAAAAAGACTGTAGGGAGCACGGAGCTTTATCTGCCTCACGAGGTACTCTCCCAGCCTCCCGTAGCAGAAGTTTCTCCCCGCTCGAAAGTGCCCCCGGCGACAAGTCTTCACCTGGTCCGAGTCTAGGGCCGTGGCGTTCAAGGTGTTGAGTCACCGGGTACAGCGGTCGTGCGACATAAATATTACTTGATGACGGAGATCGGGGTGGCGCAGGTGCCAAGGTAAACCGCTGGCAACGATGCCTGTGGTTTGACTTAAGGCAGAATAAAGTAGGGTCGGGACTGAGCCACGCTTCTGGCCCTGAAGGGACTGCATTTTAAGTTGAGGCAACTTCAAAGCTCCCCATGTGACATGAGTGCGCTCCTCGGCGGCTTGAACTAGGAGAGCCAGGGTTTCCGGCGCGATTCCTTCCAGTCGATAGGCTGCAGCCTTCCCCCGCTCGCAGCCCTTCCCTACCCCAGGCTCGCTCGGCCCCCGAGTCCCCCCACAGCCCCTTCCCTCCCCCGCCCGCGAGACGCTACGACTCCAGCACTTCGCCATTCATCAACCGGTTCACACCGGCAGCGGCCGCCGCGCGGTGACGTCGGCGGGGGGCGGGCTTCCGCCCCCGCTCGTCGGCTCTCGGCCGGGGCCCCGGCCACAATTGGTGGCCGGGAGTTCGCACGTCGCGCCGGCTATAAAACGGAGGGCCTGTGACGCAAGGGCGCCTCGGCGCGCGTATTGGCTCCCCCTACTGCGGGCCGGCTGGGCTACGCGCTCTTCTCGGAGCCGCTCACTGCATGGTAGAGTCTGGTGCCCCCGCCGCCGCCTGCGAAGCCGCCGCCGCCCCGCGACGACCACCGCTACCCCCTGCCCTGCAGCCGCCGCCGCCGCCGCCGCCTGTGTCGCCGCCGCCTCGGGACCGGCTGTATGATTAGGCCACAATCTTCAATGAGTAAACATATTCCTGTGAGTATCCGTCGCACCGCCGCCTCTGGGGCCGGGGCTCCCCGACCGGCCCCCCCATCCCCACCGTCGCCTTTGTTCGGAGCCCGGCGTCCGCTCCCCAGCGCCCCGGCACGCAGTTCCGGTGGGTCCCTGGCAGGAGGGGGCCGGACTACGGTCCTGTGGCCGGACGGTGGGGCGGGCTGCGGGGAGGCGGCCGCTGGGGTCCACGGGGCTGCGGGTTGGCGGTTGGCTGCCGGGGGCACCCGCTTCCTTGTCCCTGCCGAGCCGGGGGCGGCCGGGCCTGCGCGGCGGGTGGGGGCGGTTTCGGCCCCCGCAGCGGGCCGGGCGGGGCGGCACAAAAGCCGCTTTGTGACCGCCGCCTCCGCCCTTGGCCCTCCGGTCTGGCGCGCCTGTCCAGGGCCCGGCGGGCTCCGCGGCGTCCCGAGGCCCCTTTGTTTGGCCGAAAGAGAGCGGCCCGCCTGGGAAGCGGGAGACGTGGCCCGGGGTGGGGCAAGGGCTGCGCGTGTCACTGCGGAGCCGGATACGGGGAGGGCGCGGCGGCGGGGTCGCCACCGGACCCGGGCCGGCGTGGGGTAGGCGGGGCGGCCGGCGAGGCTGATAACGGTCTCGGCCGGGAGGTCTCCGGGCTCGGGGGCTGGCACGGGACAGGAGCCTGGTGCAGGGACCCCTGTGCTCCGCGGCCCGGACCGGCGCCCCAGACAAAATGGCTTCGGCGTCCGCGCCTGACTGAAGGCGCGGCGCGAACCCGTGATTGCGGCGCGGAGAGGGGGCGCCGCGGGCGGGCCCCGGCGCGCACCGCTGCGAGCGCGGAGCTGCGGCCATCGGGGGCTTTCCGCGAGCGGCACCCTTGGCGGGGGCTAGAGCGACACTCTGCTAGGTGAGGAGACCGACTGCCTGCCCCGCCCTGCGCCCTTAGCCTCCACCTGGTAATTCGAGCTGTTCCGGATTTAACGCCCCACTTCGGGCTCTGGATAATGGGAACAAGTCGAGTCTTGTCCTTTCTCTGGGGCAGGTCGGTGGAGAAATGGTCTGGGTCTGAGCGCCTTGGAAACTGCCAGGACTACTGTTGCACTGAAGCGAAGGAGTCCACGGCCGGGCACCAGTATGCACTTTCCCTGCCAATCTTTGGGGCCCTGGATGGCGCCTTTTAATCGGGGACTATTTAGAACTGTTCCTGAAATCCTTGGTGTAATATGTTGTTGCCTGCTTTTGGCTTGTGGCAACAGCAGCCGACCAGAGCCAGAATTCTGAGGTTTATCTTCTGTCCGTGGAAGCCTTCTACCATTCCAAGAGTATTAAGTTGTTATTTGCGCTGTAGTTGGAACCGTCGACCTGCTTCGGATCCAGATTCTGAGGCAATGCTTCCTGTTACTCTTTTTATACGAATTTTGTTCGATGGCAGTTAATCAGTTGAAAACCAAAAAGCTAGGTCATTCCCAGGAGTAAAGCAGCATTTTACATATCCTCTATAGTAGGTGCATTACTTAAGGTATAGTAGGTCTGGAAAAGACTTTACAACGAACTGTTGGACAGAGCGGTGGTTATACGGATTAATTGCTTTGACTCTGCAATCTGACAAACTGACTTAAGCTTCTGCACAGAAATTGCTTTGTTCCCGCCCCGCCTCCCGTGTATATTATTGTGATTATATGGAATGATAGATGGGAGGGGGAAGAAATGCCTTGGTATTTCTGAGCTGCCTATTGTGGATAGTTTTTCCTGTGGCAAGGAAATTGGTAACGAGGGAATGTTACGAGATGTTAGGTAGTTGGGGTCACTGCTCTTTTGGTGGAAGTTCCCCCCCCAGCCACTGGATGGCTCCACTAAGTGAGTTATTTCTGTTGCTTTCTCTGCTTCCTGATGAACTTGCTTACATGAAGAGATGAGGCCAAAGTCAGTTGTAACAGGAGTTTTAGCTGTTAAATGTGGAAGTCGTGATGTGAAACACTACTGTCTTTCTCATACATCTGCTTTCAATTGAAAAAAGATAGTATCTGGAAATCAGAACACTAAGCCACGAGTCATTGCACTTAACAGCTTTACAAATGACTTCTTTAATTCATTGTATGTCATGGAGAAGCTGCCAGAATTCACTTTTTTATTCTAAGGAAGTAATATTTAGGATTTGAGGTGAAAAGTATAACTGAAATTATTTTCCAGATTATTGCTGTGTTCACTGTAATAGAGCCAAGTTTACTTAATGGTAGTCACTAATGTTTTGACCCAACTAGCAAATACATGAAGGAATAATCTCTGAGGGCTCCTTTGAACAAATTTGGAATAATGAAAGTCCTCTTTCTTCTGGGACAGCTTTGTAAGAAATGACTCCTGAGGCTACTTCTTTGTTTTGACAGGAAAATGAACTGGGTTTTTGACTTGCTGTTTTTCACTGATCTGCTAGATCGCCATATGAATTCTTCAAAATTAGCAAAATTGTTCTAGAAACTATAGCATGGTGCAAAATGCTATTTAAAGGTACAAAATGAAAATAGTTTGAATTTAATTTTAAAATTTTGAAATGCTTAAATATAAACTAAGGGAATCTTTGGTTAAAAGATGTTATTTGGTAATTTGCCCTTGAGAATACATACAAAGTGTTTGGGGCAGTGGCTGGCATTTGGTACTCTTGTTAACCTGTCAATTTTTCTTATTCCTCTCTTTACTCCTTAGCACACACAAGTCTTTTTTTTTTTTTAACTTTATTAATGTTTATCCTTGTAATATTTCATATAACAAGTTGATTAACTTCCAGAGACTCAGATAAGGAAAATCTGTTAAAAGGGAATTGTAAATTAATAGGTTAGGGATCAAATGAGATAGTGTATGTGGAAGCATTTGGAAACCAGTTTCTTGTCTTCCTCTTAAGAACATATTGGTTGAAGGGCGCCTGGCTGGCTCAGTTGGTAGAGCATGTGATTCTTGATCTTAGGGTTGTAAGTTCAAGCCCCACGTTAGATGTAAAGATTATTTAAAAATTTTAAAAAATATTAGTTGAGTCTTTAGAGGAGTAAGTAAATTATGCAAGGACTAACAGCTTCCAAAGTTTTCATGAAGTTTACAATATGTAAAAATATTTCCTAAGCTGGAAAAATCAATATAGAAAGTGGTAGATTTTATAATACTGTAAAGCCACCAGCTATTTAAAATGAATAATTAGTAGAAGAGTATGTGTAGGTGATAATGTCTAAATGTAACAGTGGTATTCTTTGAGGGGTCTCTGTATTAGGTTAGTAATTTCAATTTAAAGTAATCTATTTGTGAATGCTTGTTCTATGGTTATTGATTTAATTTGTAATTACCCTTATATTTCTGTGGTTTAAGTAAAAGTTGAAAAGGTGGCTTGGGCCCAAATTTGAAAAGACAGTTGTGCACTTACATGCTACAAAAGCATAACATGTTCCTTTGAATTGGGAAACAACTTTTTTCTTCTCTCTCTCTTTTTTTCTTTTAAACAGCAGTTCTGTGGTGTTCTTGGTCACACATTTATGGAGTTTCTGAAGGGCAGTGGAGATTACTGCCAGGCACAGCACGACCTCTATGCAGACAAGTGAACTGTAGAAATTCATTACTACTCCACCAAGAAGCCCCCGTAAGAGTGGTTAACCTGGACACAGAAGTGTTGAATTGAAATCCACAGAGCATTTTACAAGAGTTCTGACCTGGATGGGGTAAACCTCAGTGCACTTCCTTTCTATTGCCTCAGTATTACTGGATTGAAGAATTGCTGCTTCTTGTTAGGAGGTTCATTTCATTTCTCATTACTCCCAACTTCATACTCAAAGCACTGAGAATTTCAAGTGGAGTATATTGAAGTAGACTCAGTTTCTTTGCGTCATTTCTGTATTCAATTTTTTAAATTCTTTCATAACCCTATTGAGTGTTTTTTAACCAAATTAACATGGCTCGAATGAACCGCCCAGCTCCTGTGGAAGTCACATACAAGAACATGAGATTTCTTATTACACACAATCCAACCAATGCGACCTTAAACAAATTTATAGAGGTAAGGCTTGATGCTTGTTAATGTCTTAAACTGGTTGCAGTTTAATGGTGAGGTTTTTTATCAAACAGAATAAATAGTAGTTTAGAAAAATTATGTTGGTATGCCTACAGTTGAATTTTCAAGAAATGAAATATCAGTTTCTTTAGGTTACAGAAAATTATTTTGTACATTTCAAAAAAGGACCTGTACTTGAATTAGTTTGGATTTATAATAAGATCATCTAGTTGTTCATGCCTCACAGTTTATTTAAATCTCTATGAGGTCAGTATAACAGTATGATTCTCATTTATAAGAAATTTATAGAAGGAAGACTGCCACTTAGAGATTGTTCATGTATCTGCTTAGTCTAATGACTAATACTGTAACCAAAGTTAGTTAATGTCTTGGATCCTTTTTGATGCTTCGAAGCCAATTTTTAGCTACTAATTATAATTAGTAATAATGGATTATGCGTCTTAAAGCTTGTCGTTTTAAATGATGTGGGGTTTTTTACACTGTACTTACAGGATTTTAGAGTCTTTGAATATACCTTTAAGGTTCTAAATTACCATGTGTACTGCCAGTGAGCAAAAGTTTAAGTAGTTAATGTAATCAAGTCAAGTTAGATTACTTGTAGTCAGGAGTGATTCCTTTGGGTTCTATTTACCTTTGTCTCTGAATTGCTTCTCTCTTTTGTTAGTGCTTCATTTCCATCTAGCTGGTGTTACCATGACTATAAACACCTTCCATGTATGAAGGGCCACAAGATTTTTTTTTTTCATTTATTAAAAATATATGTGATGTTTAATATTCCTCTTTTATGCTATTCTAGTGTTGTCCTTTAAAGCAGGATTTCACTTCCCAGAGTTGAATTGTGAATGTGGGTGGTGTGAAAAAATAATAAATAAATAAATAAATAAATAAATAAATAAATAAATAAATAAACAAACAAGATTTCACTTTCCTGTTAAACATACATAGGTTATACCATTCATTCCTTGATTTTCTGTTAACTAGCAATACCTTTTGAACACTTGGTGAGCAGGAATAACATGGTTATAAAAACTTCATTAATTATTTTTTATGTATGTTTTATCCAGGAACTTAAGAAGTATGGAGTTACAACAATAGTAAGAGTATGTGAAGCAACTTATGACACTACTCTTGTGGAGAAAGAAGGCATCCATGTTCTCGTAAGTGTTTAATAGTTCTGTGTGTTTGATACTGTGCTACAAAATGACCAACTTCAAAAAGCTTGATTATTTTTTTAAGTTATTACGAAAGTATGCAGAATCTTAATTTCTAAATAAAGATGAAAGCTAAGTAAAGCTCTAAAGTAATGAGATCTTTATAAAGATTCGGAATTTATTTGCATTTCATTGACAGTGGGGTTTCATACAACACATGTTTAAGCATATTAAAATGCTTTTGAAGACATCTGAGTGGTAGAAATTTAGAAGTATTAGTTGGCATTTATATTAAAAAAAATCTAAAATGTTTATTCTTTTGACTTAGGATTGGCCTTTTGATGATGGTGCACCACCATCCAACCAGATTGTTGATGACTGGTTAAGTCTTGTAAAAATTAAGTTTCGTGAAGAACCTGGTTGTTGTATTGCTGTTCATTGTGTTGCAGGCCTTGGGAGGTAAGAGAATTTCTTAAATCCATTTAATGGTATTGGTCTTGATTCTAGTAAAAACTTGATTTTGAGTCCAGGAAAAATTCAGTTATCACTTTGTGAGTCAGTTCGCTTTGTTAGATTACATATTAAATTAAATTTAAAAGGAGGTGAATGTAATAGAATAATGTATTCCAGTACAGCTGGAACTAACAAATGCTATAGTTGTAATTTACACTTGTCTCTGTGGGCACAATTACTTACAGAATTAATTGTGTGTCCTAGGTTATATCAATGATATTGGAATCATTGTCCAAACTCATTGTGAAAAAGAATTATGAATCATTTCTAAGGTGGTTTGCGTTGCATATGGTGTACTTTTGATAGCGTTCTTGATCCTGGAGATTCCAATTCAGTAGGAAGTCATTACCCAGTAACACCCAAATATTCATATCCAGATTTGTAAGTCACTATCACTGCGCTCCATCCCCACCACCAAAAAAAAGTTCTTTTCTAGTGGGGAAAAGTAAAATGAGCATTGATCGCCCTGGGGGGTTTGGCATGCAACTGTGTCACAGTCTCATTGATAAGCAAAAAAGGAAGCAAACATTTCCAGAAGATGTTTAGGAAAAGGAGTTCATGACCTTTAAAAAAAATTTTTTTTTAAATAGGAAATATTTTTCACTGCTTGGATTCAGAAAAAATTATCTGCATTTATCAAGATTTACCCCCTTAAGTTTTTTTAAGATTGACCTCGAATAATACAAGTCTTAATTTCTAGATTCATTTGTAACAATTAAGGGCATAGTTTATTTTTAGTTCTAGGTAAAGGCCTGAGTTTAGTAGGGAAATGCTGATGCTTTATTCATCTTTTAACAAGAAGTCAACATTTACTATAAGGTATTACATAGGAAGGGTGGTAAATAATAGTAATTTTGGGTTAGGAAATGAAACTTTGGAGTGTTGAATTTTCCAGGATTTGATTTTGAAAAAAGTGATTTATCAAAATTCTTATCCTACCAGAGCCCCAGTGCTTGTTGCCCTAGCATTAATTGAAGGTGGAATGAAATATGAAGATGCAGTACAGTTCATAAGACAGTAAGTATATAATGAATTTTATTTTCATTTCTTCATTGTCGGTGGATTTTATTAATACAAAAACAGTTTTTCCCCCACAGCCCATCTAACCATTACATTCATTTTTTAAGATAGTATTAAAACCAGGAAGTAAGATCTTATTTACACTCCTTGTAAATGCTCGTATTACAGAGATTCTAATCAATAAGTTGTCTTTTCTCAGATCTCATATACGTGGATATATAAATTTTGACTATTGTAACCAGCACTCAAGATTTAGGACTTTTTAGTATCCTTTTTCCATTCCACATGTATGCCTATCCATAAATTAAGCATTAAGTCGCAGCATAATAATCAAAAGATAAATTGCCACGAGAGATGATAATTGTCTATAGCATAGTAAATGGTAATACCAGGATTTTGCTTTAGTAACTTCATCTTTTGTTTTTCTTCATCTAGAAAGCGGCGTGGAGCTTTTAACAGCAAGCAACTTCTGTATTTGGAGAAGTATCGTCCTAAAATGCGGCTGCGCTTCAAAGACTCCAATGGTCATAGAAACAACTGTTGCATTCAATAAAACTGGGGTGCCTGATGTAATTGCCTTGGAAGTGGAACTTGAAACAGGACCTAATTTGTCATACATACTAGCCAACGTGTTGGCTTGGTGATTAAGTCTAATGAAGCTTCCATAGGAGTATTGGAAAGCTGTTTTATCAGGCCACAAGTTTGACAGAATTGCAACCTCTATGTTTGGGTTACGATCAACCTATTTGGACACTTAGCAAAACATTTTTGCTTTACAGCATTTAAAATGTGCTTATCACTTGTACCAGTTGACCTTTCCTGAAATCATGGAGTATTGAGTTATGTCTTTAAATCTATTCCCATGCCAGAATCTTATCAATATATAAGAAATTTAGAAAGATTAGGTGCCAAAATACCCAGCACAATACTTGTATATTTTTAGTATCATACTGAACTAAAATCCCAGGAACTATGAACACTCTGGACCTTATGTGGTTTATTCCTTCAGTCATTTCAAACATAGAAATTAGGGCCTATATGGTTATTTGCCTGCTCACTTTATGTTTACATCTCCCACATTCATACCAGTATACATCAGGTTTGCTCAACTTTTTTTTTTTTTAAACCAAGTCTTACAATGATTATTTCATGTCTTTCTACAAATTTCATTTTGTGCTGTTATAGAAAACCTCCATTTTGAAAATCTACGTTGTACAGAAGCACATGTCTTTAATGTCTCCAGACAAAAAAGCCTTACAGTTAATTTTAATGTTTGCACTTTGGGGTGCAACTTACAGGGAGGGCCTGAAAAAAGAACGGGAGGGGGCTATTAAGTATTTTTAGTAAAATGTTGCCTTTGTCTTGTGCAGAACATGTAGAATATGCTCTTTAATTTAGTAAATATTTTTTTAAAAGGTAGAGATGCTTTGTTATCGTAGCTAAAACAATTCTTAATCATAAAATTTCTGAAATTCTTGTAATTTTTTTTCTTACTCATCTGAAGTTGTTTACCAACTTATTTTTGTTTGAAGTGTGATTTTTTTTCTTCTCTTCCCAACCTCTCTTGCAAAAAAAAAAAAAAAGTGGGTTTCTGCTAATGAATTGAGCAGACATCTAATATTTTATATGCCTTTTGAGCTGTGTAACTTAATATTTGGATACTTGATAATTTGTTTTATTATGTAATTGATAAAATGGTGATGTGTATTAATGTTAGTTCAACCATATATTTATACTGTCTGGGAATGTGTGGTTATAGTTCTGTGGGAGAAATAATTTGTCAGTGTTCACCAGCTTGTAAAAATCTAGTGCGAGAGCTTAAACATCTAAATAAATAATGAAATGCATTTATCATCATTGAAATTGTTTGGCTTAAAGTTAACTTATTTTGTAGAAAATGATAGAAATGAATTATGCTTCACTTAGTGCCATTTGAAGTATGTCCTCTTTTTTTTTTTTTTAACAAATGAAGGATTAAATGAAGTTGACATTTAGTAAGCCCTTTATCGACACAATTTGTTACAGTCATGAGAACTGTTTAATATTAAAAGTACTTTCCATTATAGACTTTCATTTTTAAAGGTTTAAATAATTTTGAACCAGTGTACTATGCTATATTGAGAAACTGTAGAGGAAGGCCTTAATTTGAAGCTCAGTTCCACCAAACAATAACTTGTTTTGGGCAACTTCTGAGCCCATTTTCTTATTTGCAAATAATGGATGCCTTTATAGGTTTTGATATTTGAATATAATATTTGGCACATGAGGGCCTAATAAATGTTAAATTTCTTTCAGTAATCTAAAGTGCTTCCTTTGCATAGCTCCTGTTAATCTGAAAGGGACGGATGTCCTTGTCTGGTTTTTTTTTAATAGGTAAAACAGATTCAGAAAAAAATGGTACTCCACATTGTATTTTAAAGATTTTGCTTCCATCTCTTTGTGCCAGTTTAGCACCTAATGTACACCTTTTTTGAAACTTAGAGCCAAGGCAAAGGAATAAGGAGGGGTCCCTGGGGACCCTTAGTTCTTTAAATCTTAGATCCTTTGTAATTGGGACTAGTTATTTAACCTGGGTTTTTTTGTTGCTGTTTTGTTCTTTTTTAAATGCAGCCTGCCCCTGAAGGTAATTTGATAATTTTGTGTAATTGATAACAGTGATAATTGCTACTCCCACACAGCCCATAAAACAGCATTTGTTTATTGAGAGGAGGTGCCATCATGATGAATGAAACATCTTGAGTTTGAAACATTGTTGGTTTGCAGTATTGGATTGTATATATATGGTGCTTAAAATCAATTTATAAACCTCATCTGTACAGTATACAAATGATGAAACTTGCTTTTTATCCAAATATTTTGTGTCTTGTAAATATGACTATAGAAATACCCATTATACATTCTGGGAGATTCCTTATATCTAATAAGAAATAAAATAGAAAAAATGAGATCTTGAATATAAGAAGTTATCAGATGGTGTTTGAAAATTTGGTTACTTGGTTTTGGATAACAATTTCCATCAATAGGATGATATAAATAGTGACTAGTTGACTAGGCCTGTCTATAGGAACCATAATGCTGACAAGTAAGTAATGTGATTACTGAATCATAAGAGAATGCAGTCCTTTAGTTGAAAGCAAAACCTAGAGACGTATTGCCAGACTAACCAATTAATATAGCTATTATGATAGCTACCATTAAGGATCTTTTTGTCAGGTAATTTTCATAATTTGATTATCTTAAAATCCTGTATTTTCCCAATTTTATACATAAGGGCTATAAGCCTCCAGTATCTGATAACTAGAATGCAGGGATTCAGGGTACCTGGGTGGCTCAGTCAGTTGAGTGACTTGCTTTCAGCTCAGGTCATCAACTTGGAGTTGTTGAATTGAGTCCCCCCTTCTGGCTCCATGTTCAGCAGGGAGTCTGCTTGAGATTCTTTCCCTCTGTCGCTTGACCTACTCTCAAAATCTTTTTTTAAAAAAATGCAGGGATTCAAACATGTGACTACTACACACAGCTATGATGACATATGCCTGACCTTTTTTAATGTAATCATTGTTAAAGGTTTTAGGAGCTCTTGAACTGCCTACGGAACTCATTTTCTTTAAAGAAGTGTGAATACCATGTGATTGTAAATTTCTTCATTTAGATTGAGCCTTCTCCTTTTTCTACAAGACCCTTTTTGAAGTAAATCAGGATAGGCTAGGATAATGCTGCAGAAATAACCAACCCTGAAAATTATTTAGATATTCCTTACTTAAGCTTCATATCCATCCACCCAAGCTGATGGAGCGTCTTCTCTCTAGAACAGTGCTAGTTGTGACAAAAGGCCAAAAGGGCTTTGATAATTAAGTTCTTGACTAAGAAATCATAACACATATCCAACTCATTGGATAGAACTGGTTACATAGCCACCAGCACGAAAAATGCAATCCTACTGTGCTGAAAAGCTAGAAATTTACAGCAGTAATTGCTACCACATCAGAGTTTATAAACTTACTCGCTTCTGTTTTTTATTTATTTTTTTAAGTAAGCCCTATGCCCGTAGGGCTTGAACTCCCAACCCTGAGATCAAGATTCACATGCTCTACCCACTGAGCCAGCTAGGTACACCTAAAGTAAATTTGTTTTTTAAAGAGTATATCCACAGTAACATCCCACATAACTGAAATATCAAGCATAGCGGATAAAGTTCCCAAGCAACCAAAATAGATGTCATGAAGTTTAGGCATCCAAGTGTGTGCTTATTAGGGAATCAAAGGTGCTTATTTAAGCCTATTTAAACTTATTTTAGAGTAACTTTAGCCAGCATTTGTAATTTGGTTTCCTGCCAGACTAGAGGTAAGATGCAGAGCATGGGGAGAGAAGCACATGGGCAAGATATACTTGCCAACCTGATATTGAAAGACTTCGACTATGAAAACTAAGCTGAATTTAAAAAGCACAGCCATTTGGGATGCATCGATGCTATGGACTAACAGCCTTAGGCTTATATACCTCTGTAGACCTTCAGCCCATCAGTGTTTCACACAGAGCACAGAACAATTACAGATGTTTATAATGATTGCCCTTCATCATCAAAACTATAAACCATTACATTTGGCTTTGTATGTTGTTTTTTTTTTTTTTTTTTAAGATTTTATTTATTTATTTGAGACAGAGAGAATGAGAGACAGAGAGCATGAGCGGGAGGAGGGTCAGAGGGAGAAGCAGACTCCCTGCCGAGCAGGGAGCCCGATGCGGGACTCAGTCCTGGGACTCCAGGATCATGACCTGAGCTGAAGGCAGTCGCTTAACCAACTGAGCCACCCAGGCGCCCCGGCTTTGTATGTTTTAAGGCAAATTTTATCATCTAAAATGTTCAAGGGATGTTCTTAGGAAAATGGTGCCATGAATAAATAAGTTTGGCAAACACTGACCTAAATTTAGATATTATTTACTGCTAATGCCTTTACTGTGTTAATTTAAATTTTCTATCTTTCCAAGAGTACAATATAATAACTATTGAGTAAGTCAGCTCCCCAAAGGAAACAGATGGTACATTCCCAGTGGTCAATTGAGAACATTTAATAGAGGGAAACCAACAAGGGAGACTGCAGTACTGTTACCATCTCCAGGCCTGAAGAGGCAAGGAAGGGGGGAGCAGTTGACAATTGGACAGAACAGCTAAATGGAGAGGACCGCCTCACAGAAGCTGTGACTCTAGTAGGAAGACAGCCAACTAACTCGCAGCAATCCCGCAGAAGGGAGGGGAGAGAGCCAGGAATAAATAGCTATCTCCATTTCCCCATCTCCTTTAATGTCCTGCTTACGCCCCATTCTCCTTCAGCCCTCCTCCCCTTAGCCCAATCCAAGAAGAAGGCAGGGCAAAGGAACCTGGAGTCTATGATAAACCCTTTGGGCACAGAGCAGAAGGGAGACTAGCAGAGAGTGGGAAACAAAATACTCTGTACAACTGTGGGTTCCTTTTTTTCACAGATGACTGTTTGGGACTACAGTATTCTGCAGAACGTGTTTTCAGAAAACTTGACATCCATTTATAGATATACAAACTAACACATATAAACACACTTTTTAAAAAGTGACAATGGAAGAATCTACATTAATAAGAAACAGCTCGTTCATTCAAATTCAATTTAATCAAGTGTTGATTTTGGGGGGAGCAGAATATAATTTCTCCAAAAAAAAATGGTAAGATCAACAACATAATGTCCATTTCACTTTTGATTTACTAACTGTGATCATGGAGTCGGTCATTTTTGCAAAATATTCCAGGGCTTTTTCCCAAAGATCCTTATTAACCAGTTATTCAGATAATTTGTCTTGAAGCTACTATGGCATGTACTATGGCAACCATGTAAATTTTCTTTCTTCCAATTTTTAATTGATTTAACTCGACCAGAAACTCATCTAATAACTTTTGGGGGATGCCTGGGTGGCTCAGCAGGTTAAGCGTCTGCCTTCAGCTCAGGTCATGATCCCAGAGTGCTGGGATCGAGTCCCACATCGGGCTCCTTGCTCAACAGGGAGCCTGCTTCTCCCTCTGTCTGCCACTCCCCCTGCTTGGTGGTGATTTGAGCAGTTCTCCAAAAGCACTTTCATTGACTCCGAACAATACTGAAACTTAAATTTCACTTGCATATGTTTACATTGTGTTGTTGGCTACACTGGCAAAAAAAATGACCAACAGGTGGGTTTGGATGTAATTCACAATGCTAATGTTAATTAGGGAGAAATACTTGTAGACTAATTTTATAAGTGGATGTTCGTCAATGAAAATACTATATTTTGCTTCCCTGGAACTTAATTTACATAGGGACTCAAATAATGAATATACAGCTAAAAAGAGCCCCTAGTTCGAAGGAATAATCAACAGTTCAGCTTCTATTTGATCTAATGAGATCTGGATAGGTGTGACTCACTCTAATTCTTTTATTCAGTCTGTGTTCATCAAAAATCTACTAGACTGTGCAAGACTGTTGAATCACAGATCTGTACCTCTGAAACAAATAATACAATATATGTTAAAAAAAAAAAAAAAAAGAAGATAGCAGGAGGGGAAGAATGAAGGGGAGGAAATCGGAGGGGGAGACGAATCATGAGAGACTATGGACTCTGAGAAACAAACTGAGGGTTCTAGAGGGGAGGGGAGTGGGGGGATGGGTTAGCCTGGTGATGAGTATTAAAGAGGGCACGTTCTGCATGGAGCACTGGGTGTTATAAACAAACAATGAATCATAGAACACTGCATCAAAAACAAATGATGTGGGGCGCCTGGGTGGCTCAGTCGTTAAGCGTCTGCCTTCGGCTCAGGTCATGATCCCAGGGTCCTGGGATGGAGCCCCACATCGGTCTCCCTGCTC